AGTTTTTTACCAGAATTTGGAAGACAATGAATTTCAGTACGCCCTTTCATTCTGGATGCTTTGCAAGTTAAACTCGGCCAATCAACAGTCCCGAATTTGGGACCCTGAAGTACAATTATTATCTTAAAATTTCACCATCTGAAATTTCTAACATTTCAAAATGCACTGACTACCCCCCTTTTTTTTACAAATCCGGAAAAGACTCTCACTGAGGGGCTACTTCAGAAATTAAACTAACCAGGCCTTCGCTAGCAGGGATATTCCCAAAAGCTCGGCCTGCGCTGACAGTTTGCTGATGTTATGCAAATGTTATTAGGAATTTCAGAATCACAAGTACGAATAAGAGTGAAGATTCGATGCAAATGGTTTGTACTTATAGGCCTGGCACAGCTATGCCAGTCTTTCCTCAGCTGGTTGCATATCGGCATTGCCTGTATTAGGAGCACTAGCTTTTCGGAGGATGCCCCAATTACTTCTCGTGATTTACACCAGTCGGTAAAGTGGTGTGGTGTTAATTTGTAGAAGCTAATGTAACAGATGAGGTGCAGCTGCAGACCTGGAAGCCGTAGAGAGAAGCGAATGTAACAGCTTCGATCAAATCGGTTTGGCCGTCGTCAGCAGCAGCATCAGTGATCCCGGCAGCAGCAGCAACGGCAGCGAGCTTCCTCATCCTGCTGTTCCCGATCAAATCGCTCATAATGCCACACTGCGTTACTGTTCCAACACCGTCTGCAACTGTACATCAACCTATAAGAACCAAAAACACTTGGCTTGAACTAACTGCCTCTCCTTATCCTTTTTTCATGTTTCTTCTCTTCTGCAGTAGCACTTACGCAGTAGTTGACAAAAATCTTCTCCAGTGCAATGCACGAAACTTCCTTGAGAAGCAGTGAGGGCCGACTTTCGTCGCAATCACTGATTCCCTCATTTCGCTGCTTCGTTTCCCCGTCCTCGATCTCTACCAATACATTCACTTAGGTATCACATTTTCAACTGTCAAAAGTCAAAACCCTCCTCCATACTTTGTGCTCAGTGAGAGGCGAAGGCATTCAAGAAGTAGCCGGAATGGCAGCAAATGCCAAGATCAACCACTCGCTGGCAAAGCTGACGATGGGTCCCTCTTCTACGGGTTGCATACATGTAAGCTGATGGCGGGCTTTTAGCAGTAGGAATAAAAATGCATGCTGGTGCCTACGAAATATGGTGCACACTGCTCTACTGAAGGAGGGTACCACGGAGAGCAGCCCGAGGATGTGTCCTGCAATCAAGCAATTTGCAACTGTGATACCGCTCTTTTGCACTTAATAACAATGAGCATCCCCGCATTGCATCCCAGCAGACCAGGCTCGTTTGTCTCGGCTATTGTTGCCAGAGCCAGCCGCTTCCTCGGCCACGCCACGTGCCGATGTGGCCAGGCACTGCGTTTAAAATGCCCATCAGCAGCATGCTGACCGTTAAAGTTAGTTCGAGAAACAAGAGTCTCACCACAGTGACTGCCTAAAACCGAGACCGTAATCTGGGAACACCCCACCGCTTTTAGCAGCAGCAGGAGCAGCAGCTAGCCGAAGCAAGGTGACGCCGATGTGCGACGATCGACAGTGACAGCAAATGGTTTGCGGAGCCGCTTCTTGCTGAATAAACATCGCTCCGCCAGCGTTAATTTGTCCTTTCCCACACAAAGTCACTGCTTTCCCACAGGACGCGGAAGCGTTCTGTTACCGCCCGGGGTACCGCAACAGTTTCCTTAGTTCCAACATATCGGCGTGTTTGAAACACATCCAGGATGTGTGATAACGACTTCTTAATGATGTTTCGTGAGTTCATCCCTCGATCGCGGCCTCTCGCTACGGGTGGAGACATACAAAGAGAATGAGTTCGTCTCGTGGATGAAACGTTCCACCTAGAATTCCCCCCGCGGCAGCTCTTCGCTCCTCCTTTCTACCTCTCCCCCCCATCCCCGCGCTGCTGCCTCTGCCCTCCGTTGCTCGCTCACCGTGTAGACTAGTAAGCAGAGAGCACTAGACACTGAC